AATAATAATATAATAATAATAAATAATAATAATAATCTTGTAGGAGTGAGGAAGAGCCAGTTGTGAGTGTGGGGGGAGTTCGTGAGGCAGTAGGTAAAATGAAAGGGGGTAAGGCAGCTGGGATTGATGGGATAAAGATAGAAATGTTAAAAGCAGGTGGGGATATAGTTTTGGAGTGGTTGGTGCAATTATTTAATAAATGTATGGAAGAGGGTAAGGTACCTAGGGATTGGCAGAGAGCATGCATAGTTTGTATAAAGGCAAAGGGGATAAAAGAGAGTGCAAAAATTATAGGGGAATAAGTCTGTTGAGTATACCTGGTAAAGTGTATGGTAGAGTTATAAATTGAAAGAATTAAGAGTAAGACGGAAAATAGGATAGCAGATGAACAAGGAGGCTTTAGGAAAGGTAGGGGGTGTGTGGACCAGGTGTTTACAGTGAAGCATATAAGTGAACAGTATTTAGATAAGGCTAAAGAGGTCTTTGTGGCATTTATGGATTTGGAAAAGGCGTATGACAGGGTGGATAGGGGGGCAATGTGGCAGATGTTGCAAGTGTATGGTGTAGGAGGTAGGTTACTGAAAGCAGTGAAGAGTTTTTACGAGGATAGTGAGGCTCAAGTTAGAGTATGTAGGAAAGAGGGAAATTTTTTCCCAGTAAAAGTAGGCCTTAGACAAGGATGTGTGATGTCACCGTGGTTGTTTAATATATTATAGATGGGGTTGTAAGAGAAGTAAATGAGAGGGTCTTGGCAAGAGGCGTGGAGTTAAAAGATAAAGAATCACACACAAAGTGGGAGTTGTCACAGCTGCTCTTTGCTGATGACACTGTGCTCTTGGGAGATTCTGAAGAGAAGTTGCAGAGATTGGTGGATGAATTTGGTAGGGTGTGCAAAAGAAGAAAATTAAAGGTGAATACAGGAAAGAGTAAGGTTATGAGGATAACAAAAAGATTAGGTTGATGAAAGATGAATATCAGATTGGAGGGAGAGAGTATGGAGGAGGTGAAGGTATTCAGATATTTGGGAGTGGACGTGTCAGCAGATGGGTCTATGAAAGATGAGGTGAATCATAGAATTGATGAGGGAAAAGAGTGAGTGGTGCACTTAGGAGTCTGTGGAGACAAAGAACTTTGTCCTTGGAGGCAAAGAGGGGAATGTATGAGAGTATAGTTTTACCAACGCTCTTATATGGGTGTGAAGCATGGGTGATGAATGTTGCAGCGAGGAGAAGGCTGGAGGCAGTGGAGATGTCATGTCTGAGGGCAATGTTGGTGTGAATATAATGCAGAGAATTCGTATTTTGGAAGTTAGGAGGAGGTGCGGGATTACCAAAAACTGTTGTCCACAGGGCTGAGGAAGGGTTTGTTGAGGTGGTTCGGACATGTAGAGAGAATTGAGCGAAACAGAATGACTTCAAGAGTGTATCAGTCTGTAGTGGAAGGAAGGCGGGGTAGAGGTCGGCCTAGGAAAGTTGGAGGGAGGGGGTAAAGGAGGTTTTGTGTGCGAGGGGCTTGGACTTCCAGCAGGCATGCGTGAGCGTGTTTGATAGGAGTGAATGGAGACAAATGGTTTTTAATACTTGACGTGCTGTTGGAGTGTGAGCAAAGTAACATTTATGAAGGGATTCAGGGAAACCGGCAGGCCGGACTTGAGTCCTGGAGATGGGAAGTACAGTGCCTGCACTCTGAAGGAGGGGTGTTAATGTTGCAGTTTAAAAACTGTAGTGTAAAGCACCCTTCTGGCAAGACAGTGATGGAGTGAATGATGGTGAAAGTTTTTCTTTTTCGGGCCACCCTGCCTTGGTGGGAATCGGCCAGTGTGATAATAAAAAAAAAATAATAATAATAATAATAATAATAATATAATAATAATAATTTACTACACATACATGTACAAGGTACACAGGCCTAGGTGACATCAGTGACATATTACTATATAGAAGGCCGCTTGTTCTGCAGAGTATTTCAAGAAAATTAGGTCAGTATCCCAGGATGACACCCACACAAGTCGGCTAACACCCAGGTACCCATTTACTGATGGGTGAACATAAACAACGGGTGAAAAGAAACACGCAAGTTTTTACCCGGCGGGAACTAATTTTTTTTTACCAAAAATCATACATGGCAAACCCCAAGCCGGGTACAGAAAAAAAGCCACTTTGATTTTTTTTGGGTTACCCAAGGTTCTCTACACCATGCCTATGCTGATAATCTATATAGAAAAATAACTTTTTTGTTTCATTTTTATTGTGAAGTATAGTGTAAACACAGTTACCGGCTACACTCCGTTTTTCCTAAAAAGCCCCAAGCAGGTGGGAGAATGGATTTGTAACCATACCTCTTCATACCTCCTCAAACTGCTGGGTTTATGCCAAATATTATTTATTTTTGGAGTTTTTAACAGTTTTTATGTTATTTATATTGTTTTTTATGTCATAGATCAATTGTAAAGGGCAAATAAGCTGTAGTGTTGATATTAGCATAATAAAAAGATTTTCTCCTTTTCATGAGACTGAGTTCAGACAACCGACATGGCTTCAAAGCCCCCTTTATTTTTAAATGGATAATGTACGTGTAGGTGCTTTACATAATGAGAAGCATTTCTTTTATTCTTTGGGAACCAGGCTAGGCTAAAAGTAAGCAGGTTAAAACAACAAATGGAGAAAAAAAATTTTGGAATGACTTATGCAGCAATAGCGCCCCCAAACAGTACCAGCGGGTTTGGTGTGGTGCCCCGGGAAATTTTTTAAATTTATCACCAAAATTAGTCCCGAATAACAAAGGGAACGAATAACTGATTGCCGGATTTGGATGGCGGACCTTATATTAGAGAACAAAGTAAGGAAATGATGTGCGGTCTTTTAAGTGGGTGAGATCGACATGTTTTTGCAGTAGTGTGAGGTTTATTTTTTGAAATCTCTCTGAGGGTCTTGCTATGTGGGGGAAAATGCTAATAAAGTAGAAAATTTTTTGGCAAAAGCCACCATGTTGTTGAAGCTTTTGTCCTATTGGGAAAACTAGAAATGCGTGAGACTGATTCTAGTATGTATTGGCTTTGGAGGCCATCCACTGCTGCCTTCCCTACACAAAGACTCCCTTCCTGGGGGGGGGGGGGGGGGGGGGGAAAACACTTCACCATTGCGTGAAAAAGTGGGGAAAATATGTGGCTGCAGAGGTGGAATCTCAACTCCTTTCCTCACCTCTCATTTTCTGCTTGCCACATTCCCTCTTGCCTCTTGGGACCTCTTACCTGTTTTTAAGCTAGAAGATGTAAGGAGGGCAGAAAAATAGGGCAATGAAAAAGAGAAAAAAAAGGGAAACAGCCACCGCCACCCACCCTTAATATTATGTATACTGAATTGTAGCTCTGTTCTGCTTTAATTTAAAATGTATACTTTAATTAAACATTTGATAAACCTTACAGCATTTTTAAAAAAAAAGAAACACTACAGTGGACCCTCGGTTTTTTGTGAGTCCAGTTTTGTGAATTTTGGGTTTTCGGAACTTTTTTCGCAAAATAAGCCTTGGTTTTTTGTGATTTCCCCTTGGATTTCAGCGGTCGTACAGAACAGCTCAGTGGCCTTGCGCAACAAAGCCTCCCCAAGGCATTTAGAGTCATCTGGCATTGTTTCTGCGAGGAGCATCACCCCCCGCGTTCTACGAAAAATTTTTCCATAATCCATTGTTTTTTTTTGCTCCAAATGCTCAAAGAAAGCTCCTGGCCAACCCTTTGGTAAAGAAGGTGAAAACATGATTAAAAAAAAGAAAAATCAAGAAAAAAAGAAAGTGGGATACGGTTTTGGGTGAGCTTTCCAGATGCCAAGAGACATTTGTGGAAGGTAGGAAACCTGGGGTTGGATTGTGGGCAAGGATGTGGAAGAGTTGGTGGGGACCACAATGAAGAGCTAACCCCGAAACGCAAGACCCTTTACTCAACCCGCAACAAAGCACAGCTGAGGAAATTTCTTCACAGGAGGAGGAAGAAAGAGGGAAGAAGGTGCCTTCTTCAAAGATTAAGGGCATTTGTGCAAAGTTGAATGAGGTGCAAACATTTGTGGAGGAACATCACCCTAACAAAGCTGTTGCAGGCCCTGTCTGCGATATGTTTTGTCCCATTTTAGGCAAATCTTAAAGAGATGCCAGAAACAGAGCTCTTTAGAACAATTCTTTGAGCGACAGGGGTCCAGTGACTCTCAAGCTGGTTCTAGTGCCATTAAAAAACAAAGAGGGAAGTAACCCAGATAAGGACTCAGTACCTATTGTTTGGAAGGGGATTCCCCTTCCATACAATAATAACTTCTTCCTCTCCCGTCCTCCTGTCTTCCATACACCAACAAGAGTCTTCAGTAAAGATAAGTGTGATGTTATTATTGCTGTATATTGATTTGTCATTCTTTTCTGTATGTAAATCTATATTTAATCTCTAAAAAAATTATTTTTGTTAATACTTTTGGGTGTCTGGAATGGATTAATTGGATTTACATTATTTGTTACGGGGAAAATGGTTTCGGTTTTTGGCAGACTCCCTGGAACGGATTAATCACGAGAACCGTGGGTCCACTGTACTAAATGTAAAATATTAGGGAAATATTCTTAGTTAAAAAATAAGTGAAATTAGATGTGGAATATTATGGCTTGTTAATACCTCTCAGATTATAACATTGGGGTATCTGTGGAAAAGTAGGTTCTGAGTTTGAGCATCAGACTTAAAGACAGTTTTCAGGAACAACTTACCATCATAAGTTTGAGACCTGCACTGTATAGAACTACAATATGTACTGTAATTACAATGTTTATTTAGTTTTGAGTGCATATATGAGTTACATTTATATATATATGTACTTCACTAATGATGCTTAGTAATGTACAGTAACTACCATCTCCACTGCAGTATTTTTCTTCAAGATTATGTATAAGAATTATCAACTATACAATTAAAAATAAGAGGAGTGTCATGGGTGTCATAGTATAACTTTACTCCTGATGCTTTACTTTTCTAGGTTTGTGACGAGGAGAGTCAAGTGGTAGGTGAGCAAGTGATAATTAAAGTATTTCCCTGGACGACAGATTCGGTTCGCTTTGTTACTCATCATGATGCAACCTTTGCTGATATCCAAGTAGCCATTGCCAAATTAAAACATGTTATATGTGAGATAGATTTGCAGATGAAGTAAGGAGGCAAATAGTACAATATAATATATATTTTTAATTCAGAAGTGAAGCACTTATGAAGATTTATATAGTTGTTATTTTACATAAAAATAAACACTTAAATATAGATACAGTACTTAAGAAAAAGTATCTAAATATATTGGATATTTGCCAGTGAAACATGAAATTGCATATCAATAAAACATTTTGGCATTTACCAATTGGAAAGAGCTTCTGTAAGAAGCAGCACCACACAGTACTGTATTTCTGTGATTTTTATACATATATGGTATATATGGTACAGTATATGGTGTATTTCAAGTTCTTAAATTATTTAACAGGTCATAGATTTTTCCTTCAATATGTATTGTTGCAAATTATTAAATTATTTATGCCACAGAAATAAATATATTTTTATACAAGAGTTTTACTTATGTCAGTATTTATTATTTGTAATAGTATATTTGCATACTGTAATTTAGTAAAATTTGTTGAAATCTTCATAATTAACTGAACAGGTGTACATATATTGCTCTACTACTGTCTGCACTTGAGTTAGCATATCTGCCATTACTCATTCATTAGAGAGATTTGGCTTTAAGATTTAGGGATTTTTGCTTTCAAATTACAAGTTTTTTTTTTTTTGTCACATACTGTAATTGAACTGATGCTTGGCTCCAATGTGATTACCATTCTCCAGGCAGTGTATGACCCATATGGGTTTAGCAATTCCCCATGAATATAATAGTGAGACCTGTGAAACTAAAGGGTGGCCTGATTTTTTTTTTTTTCCCCAACAAGTCGGTCGTCTCCCACCGAGGCAGGGTGACCCAAAGAGAAAGAAAATCCCCCAAAAGAAAATACTTTCATCATCATTCAACACTTTCACTTAACTCACACATAATCATTGTTTTTGCAGAGGTGCTCAGAATACAACAGTTTAGAAATATATACATATAAAGATACACTATATCTCTCCAAGCTGCCAGTATCCCAAACCCCTCCTTTAGAGTGCAGGCATTGTGCTTCCCATTTCCAGGACTCAAGTCCGATTATATAAAATAACCGGTTTCCCTGAATCCCTTCACTAAATATTACCCTGCTCACACTCCAACAGATCATCAGGTCCCAAATACCATTTGTCTCCATTCACTCCTATCTAACACGCTCATGCAAACTTGCTGGAAGTCCAAACCCCTCGCCCACAACACCTCCTTTACCCCCTCCCTCCAACCTTTTCGAGGATGGCCCCTACCCTGCTTTCTTTCCCCTACAGATTTATATGCTCTCCATGTCATTCTACTTTGATCCATTCTCTCTAAATGACCAAACCACCTCAACAAACCCTCTTCAGCCCTCTTGACTAATACTTTTATTAACTCCACACCTTCTCCTAATTTCCACACTCTGAATTTTCTGCATAATATTTACACCACACATTGCTCTTAGACAGGACATCTCCACTGCCTCCAACCGCCTCATCGCTGCAGCATTTACAACCCAAGCTTCACACCCATATAAGAGTGTTGGTACTACTATACTTTCATACATTCCCTTCTTTGCCTCCATAGATAACATTTTTTGCCTCCACATATACCTCAATGCACCACTCACCTTTTTTCCTTCATCAATTCTATGATTAACCTCATCCTTCATAAATCCATCCGCTGACACGTAAACTCCCAAATATCTGAAAACTTTCACTTTTCCATACTCCTCCCCCGATTTGATACCCCAATTTTTTTTTTATAAAAATATTTGATACTCTCACACTTACCTTTTCGTAATCAAGTTAGTGAAAAACCCGGGGTGTCCTGAACCCCCATGGGATGATTTAAGCAAGTGCCCATCACTCATCTTCCCAAGGAAGCACCTGATCAAGCACTTCATACAGAAAATTTTCTTACTTTAACCCACCTTAGGAGCTGGATCGGACCCCTTTTCTCGGATGCAGTTGACCGAGGAACTTTCCCTGGCATCGAATTTTTTCTTGGCCTCAAAGGGGGCACCTTTTTGATTAAGCAAGTTTGCTTCCTGGGGCTGTACAACTGTTCCCCCTATTTTGAGTTCCTTGGGTAAAACTAGAGACCTATACAGAAATGCCTGTTCCCCCCCTGCCAGGTGGGGCAGTAAAAAAGCATCTCCCAAAGGGGCTTTTTTTTTTTTATTATTTTTAAAACAACTCAAGGGGGGAGTTTTCTAAGGGGAAAGTCCTGCCTTTCAATTTTTTACACAAGTACATAATGGAACTTTCTGGACCCTCCACAGTTTTTTTAAATGTTTTTTTCCGGGTTTTCTTGTCAGAATTTTGTATACTTATGACTTAGGTTTTAGCTCTTTTTTTTGAATATACAGAAAAAAATAATAAAAAATATTTTTGGCCCAGATAGTAGTTGGTAGACACACCCCCCCGGAGGGACTACCATGAAATGGAACCTGTAATTGTTTTACAGATGGCAGGATTGCGTGTCCTGGGGATCCTGCGTTTCATAAAAATGCAGGATAACAGTTTTATCTTGCGCTTCTCTTGCACTTAGGGAACACTACAATCATGTACTGCTATATATTTAAAAACACCCCTCTGGTTTTTCTAATTTTTCCTTAATAGTTCTTCGCTGTAAAGCCCTTTGGGGTTAGGGGCTTCTTTTTGATTAAACAAAAAAAATAATTAATAGTTCTTGTTCTTTTTTATTTTTTCCTTATCTTCATGGGGGAAATGGGAAATAATTCTTCCTCCAAACTTGCAGTCATAAGAGGGGAACTAAAATGCCCGGAGCAAAGGGGGGTAATAACCCCTTCTCCTGTAAATTGCTGAATTTTTTAAAAAGAAAAAAAATTTTTATTTTTCTTTTTAGGTCACCCTGCCTCAGTGGGATACGGCCAGTTCTTAAAAAAAATATATATATTCGTTTTTGGGCTTAATTTTAAGTTTATACTTCTTTTTTTCCTTCCTAATGTGGCACAAAAACAAAGAATGAATATTTTAGTTCATTTTGCTGTTCATCATTTATGTGCTTCTGTATGTTTTCCTGAAGACTTGTACTGCACAGGTGCACCTATGTGTGGATCTGACTGTTTCTTGTACCTCCTTCATAGTCTTTGTCCATGCTCATCCCTTCAAGGAAAGGTTGGGGGGTAGGATTTTATATGCTGGTGAGATAAGATTTTCTTCGATTTTTAACCATGGAAGGTTAGCCACCCAGGATAACCCAAGAAAAGATCAGTGCGTCATTGAGGACTGTCTAACTATTTCAATTGGGGTCCTTAATCTTGTCCCCCGGGATGCACCCACACCAGTCGACTAACACCCAGGTACCTATTTGCTGCTAGGTGAACAGGACAACAGTGTAAGGAAATGCGTCGAAATGTTTTCACCTGCAGGGAATCGAACCCGGACCCTCCATGTGTGAAGTGGGAGCTATTAGCCACCCAGGCCACCAGGCCTGGGGTGAATGACTCTTATTACAAGAAATTGGAGACAACGTATTCCATGGCTAAAAACCTGATTGTCTTTCATTTCCCTGGTGTTGTATAATTCCTCTTTGTTTGGTGCTTCTCTGTGACTTTAATGATCATGTCCAAACTTATCCTGTGAGCAGTAGCATAAGACAACATTAGTTGATTTGTTAGGTTTAAAGCTTGTTGACTACACAAGAGTCATTAAGACTGCATTTGACCTATATGCCACCAATATAGAAATTTTAAATCCCAGGTGCTGTTTTACTCATACAGGTTTAGTGTATCTCATGAATATAATGTACTGGTATTTTATTACCACTTGAACACTGGAATAAGGATTAAACTGGATATATTGTACCCTTTGATGCTGGTGAAGGTAACTGAAGCCACTCACCTTCCTCAGCCCCTCTAAGAAGGTTCCTTGATGTTGGTTAGGACTTTTGATCTATGGAATTGTACTGTGCTCAAGTTCCCTGAATTAAGCCTGAATACCTTCCACATTTACCCCACAGGCGCTGCATAATCCTATGGGTTTAGCGCTCCCCCTTGACTATAATAATAATAATCTTCCATGAATCAAACCTTATTAACCTTGTATTCCCCAGGCACTGTAATTACAAACACAGGTAAAGAATGGCCTGAGAGACCTGGTGTAATGGGAATGTGGAGCAAACAAAACTCAGCAGTAGACTATAATGTTTATTTGCCTTCACCAGATGATATACACAAGTATGTACAATATGTTATAGATAGATAGTAAGTGTACTCCACGGTGACAGATGGCAAAGCAGAAGCCAGGGAGTGTGGACCGTGCTCAGCCAGCAGCTAGGCAAGTCTGCCAGTGCTTACCACAAGTGAACCACATTGCTTCAGCTTTGGCAGGCTTCCCTGTGATTGGCCAATGAACCAAGGTACTGATTTAATGATGGGTACTCTATTGATTGTTAAACCCTTAGTACCCAGTTCGCTGGTTGGGAGGCAGCCTGTATAGGAGTGTGACATATGCCGAATAAATTGTAATATACTCTTTGCATGCCACACACACTATGACCCTTCTGGGCTTAGCTCTCCCTCATGAATATAGTATGATAAATTACATATATACACACTTGAGATACACACCTGTCACCTCAAGGAAGGTGCCTTTATGTCGGTGAGGGGTGCTTGACCCAAGGAATAACTTATCCTCCCCTTCCTCGGATCAAGCCTGAATGTCTCCTATTTCCAAGGCTCTATGTGACCCCAAAGGGCTTAGCATTCATAGACAGGTCTATGAATGTTGCAATGGGTATCCTCTCTTCCCTGGAGTGCTGAACACAGGATCTCATTTCCCCAAATTTTGAGGACCCTGCTCTCACATTTGGCTCAGAATGTTTCACCCAGTACCCTTCAAGAGAGTTGCCTTGATCTATGGAAGTGGATTTATCTTCCCCTTTCTTGGACAGAACTTAATTGCCTCCTATTCCCTGTGCTGTATGATTTGTATGAGTAGCACTTAATCCTGATTAACCCAATTATATTAGAAGAACTAAACCTGTCCTTGTTTCTTAACATTGACCACTAGTTGGCAACATTGTGTTGTTCTATAGGCTACATCCTTGTCTCCCTTCAAGGAAGATGCCTTGATGCTGGCAAGGGGTTCCTGATCCAAGGAACTGGATTTGCCATCACCTTCCTTGGATTTGACCATAATGCCTCCCAGGGTCCATATCAGCCCTACAGATTTAGCGCATATACTGCTATGTATGATAATCTATGTAACTATTTGTGTATACCTGAATAAACTTAATGAAAAATAAAGTATTATCGAGAGAAATATTTTTTATCAATGCATCTCCAGTATTAATTAGGTTAGTACAATTAGGTCAGCGCTGTATGACCCTGGTGGGTTTAGCACTTAGCTTTGATAATAATAATAAGTACTACAGTTAGGTA